GTCTTCTAATATTTGGTATGAAAGATTAGGACATGTGAATTATAAGTCTGTACAAAGACTGATGAATTTTAACTTAATCACCAAATGCAAAATTAGCAAAGACAAGTGTGAAGTTTGTGTACAAACAAAACTCACAAAAATACCATCTCCTCATGTTGAAAGAAAAACCAAACCTCTTGGCTTAATCCACCTGATCTGTGCGATTTAAAGTATATACAAACAAGGGGTGGTAAGAAGTACTTCGTGACTTTCATTGATGATTGCACAAGATACTGTTAAGTCTACTTACTGCGAAGTAAAGACGAAGTCTTGGACAAATTCAAAGAGTACAAGCTCGAAGTTGAAAACCAACTGGGAAAAACCATTAAGATGGTTAGAAGTTATAGAGGAGGCGAGTATGATGGACCTTTCAATACTTTTTGTCAAGAAAAAGGCATCATACATAAAACAACAGCTCCATACTCACTAGAATCTAACGGAGTTGCAGAGAGAAAGAATCGCACTCTGAAAGAGATGATGAATGCAATGTTACAGGAATATGGGACACCCCATAATCTGTGGGGGGAGGGAGCGTTGCTCACCACAAACTACATTCTCAACAAAATTCCACACAAGATTACTGGCAAAACGCCATATGAACTTTGGAAAGGAACTGTACCTTCGTACAAATACCTCAAAGTGTGGGGGTCCTTAGCAAAAGTCATTGTGCCACCTCCTAATTGGACCTAAAACGGTTGATTGCATCTTCATCGGATATGCACATAATAGTAGTGCTTATCGATTCCTAGTACATAAGTCAGATGTACCAGACATCCATGTCAACACGATAATGCAATCTAGGAATGTGTCTTTCTTTGAAAACATCTTTCCATGCAAAGAGAAACAAAGTATGAAACGCACTCATGATGAAAGAGACGCTAGCATCTCTGTAAATGAGAAGAGCAGTTCTGAAATTTCAGTTGATGAAGCAGAAGATGAAGAAGATGAACCTAGACGGAGCAAGAGAACACGCAAGGAAAAATCTTTTGGTGATGATTTCTTAATGGTATTTCTCACAGAGAATGAGCTGAGATCATACACAGAAGCCATGTCTACACCTGACGCATCTTTCTGGAAAGAAGCAGTTAATAGTGAAATTGATTTTATAATGCAGAATCATACTTATGAGATCACTGATTTACCACAAGGTTTCAAAGCGCTAGGGTGTAGATGGATATTCAAAACCAAGTTAACAACTGATGGTTCAATTGAGAAGTACAAGGTCAGACTTGTGGTTCAAGGATTCAGACAAAAAGAAGGTCTAGATTTCTTTGATACCTATTCTCCAGTAACGAGAATAACTTCAATAAGAATTCTGATAGGAGTGGCAGCCCTAAGAGGACTCGAAATCCATCAGATGGATGTAAAAACACCCTTTCTAAATGGTGATCTAGAAGAGGAGATTTACATTAAGCAACCCAAAGGATTTGTGGTCCCGGGTCAAAAATACAAAGTCTGTAGACTTGTGAAGTCATTGTATGGTCTGAAACAAGCTCCAAAGCAATGGCATGAAAAGTTTGACAATGTAATGATGTCAAATGGTTTCAGCATAAATGAGTGTGATACGTGTATCTACATCAAAAGTACTCCTCACGGGTATATCTTGTTGTGTTTATACGTTGATGACATGCTCATCATGGGAAGTAGCAATGATTTCATCCAACAAACCAAGACAATGCTTAGTGGTCAGTTTGACATGAAAGACATGGGTCTTGCGGATGTTATCCTTGGCATAAAGATTACACGCACCTTTGAAGGCATCACTTTGTCTCAAGGTCATTATGCTGAAAAGATTCTTAAGAGGTTCAAGGCTTAATCAAACAGAACTGCGAAGACTCCCGTGGATTCGCAACTACACTTGACTAAGAACTCCGGTGAAGCTGTTTCACAAGTGGAATATGCAAGGGTCATTGGCAGTCAAATGTACTTAACCAATTGTACACGACCAGACCTTGCGCATGCTGTCAACGTGTTAAGTCGTTACACAAGTAATCCAGGTCATATACACTGGAAAGCCATAACAAGGGTATTAAATTATTTGCGACACCAAGAGTTATGGGCTGCACTACGGTAAAGAACCCGCATCTTTGAAAGGATACAATGATACAAACTGGATATCAGACTCAAAGTATTCGAAATCCACAAGTGGATACGTCTTTACTCTAGGAGGTGCAGCAGTATCTTGGAAATCTTCCAAACAAACTCTGTTAGCAAGATCCATAATGGAATCTGAGATCATAGCTCTATACAAGGCAGCAGAGGAAGCAGAATGGCTACGGAATTTCCTTGAAGACATCCCCATGTGGGAGAAACCAGTGCCAGCATTACAAGTGCATTGTGATAGTTAATCAGCAATAGCTCGGGCATCGAGTAACATATACAATGGAAAGTCTTGTCACATCAGAAGGCGACATAATATCATTAGACATTTGATATATACGGGTGTAGTCTCGGTCAATTACATCAAGTCAGTTGACAACCTTGCTGATCCGTTTACTAAAGGTTTAAATAGAGATCAAGTTTTGAAATCATCAAAGGGAATGGGTTTATTGCCTATGACTAAAGAGGATGTTTGATGGAAACCCCACTTATGTGATTGGAGATCCCAAGATCTAAGTTCAAAAGGACAACCAAGTCGAACAGAGTCTGATGAAAGCACTGAAAGACATAACGTATGTGCCCATATCACAAAATGATGTACAGTGCTCCCTATAAGTATTAAAGGATAAGTTTTATACTTTTAATTATTTTGAGTAGCTTTCATAATATAGAGTATAACAGGATACTTGTGTATATGTCAGGAGCTCAAAGAAATCACGTAGTGAGTGTGAAATGCGGCCGTTTCTAGGAGGATGAAGACAAGGCTATATCTCCAAGTTCACTCATGACAACCAGGCAAGTTCACGGCCACAATGAACACAATAGAGAAGTTAGTTCTACGAGAAGATGAGACTGGGTTGTACATGTTGTCTAAGTTTACATAAAAATCCGGGTGGTTCAAGACATCACGCTCACCCCCTGGCTAAGTAAACTCGACAGATATCAACAAAGAATAGTTCAAGGCTGAAATATGCTACTATATCATACACATTTAATTTTTCGCCTATACTCTCGAAAAGTCCTAGTGTGTCTGCATAGTCTTTCGAGTTAGTAGAGTCTGCATATGTTTTAGAGTAATTTCTATTCATGTGGGGGATTGTTGGAACTTATTTTTGACAAATGGCTCAGGCCAGTTTTCCGGTGACATTTCCGGTGAGCACAGTTACCGAAATGACCGGACTATGGATTCTTTGGATTCCTTGTAATGAGTACTATAAGATAATGTATTCACTTGTCAAAAACGAAGTTGATTTGAATGAGAAATCTTTGGTCAAAGTGGAAATGTAATCAAGACAAAAAGTCAACAAATGTCAAGATGAGCATTTGTCCCACATCGAAAGTTGGAAGAAAATTCCACTAGTATATATAGTGACAAACTCTCAACAAGGTTCACTAGCCTTTAGAAGAGGACACTATGGAAAAGGAGAGAAAGGGCTGTTATGCAAAACCACACACGCGCGTGCATGTCGTGCCTAGCCGGGCCGGGGTCGGGCTTGGGTTTGGATCTTGGTGAATGTGGGCCCACAATAAGATGTTCTTTTTAGAGTAAATATTTATTAACTTGTTTTCACAGATATGTTAATATTCCTTAAAGATAATTTGCATAACTCGATAGATATTTATGAATGGGTCGAAAATTAATAACAAAATATTTCCATAATATTTCTGTTTCGCTCAGATCCTTATCAGAAAGGAATAAAAGATTTCTGGAATATTTATGTTTCTCTTATTCTTTGCGATCAAGGAATAGAAGATCTTTGGAATATTTCTGTTTATCTATGAGTGGCGGCCAAGGCAAACCCTTGTGCCCCAATCCCTCCATCCGTTATATATACTCGCCTCTCTCATTCATTATTGATAATCAGCAAAACACATAGTTTTCGAAAACACAAATATCCAGCAAATCCCTCTCGTCTCTACAGTCTTAGGTGAGTTTTGAGAGTATAGCGTAGATTCTTAAGTTCGTAGATTCTATAGTCGAGTGCTGCGACTTTAGTCTCAACACGGTTGCATCCTGAGATTATGAATCTCATCAAACCGCCACACTGCGGGAGATTTAAAGAACTAAGGAAAGAGATCATATCTCTACTCCGTGTATCGTCTTTCCTTAAAAGTGTTATTAAAACGTTTTATACTTTAATTGTCGTTTATTATTGATTTAAATCGTTTTTACATTCGTGATTTTCAATCTGGATTTTCACGATCCTACAATATTATCCAAATATCAAAAGTAAATCGATATATACATAAATATTGTGTACTCAAGGCTTGAGATCACTAAAAAACTTAATCATATTGTCAATTAGAATACACAAAAATTATATAGTGACTTTGCATTTCTATCACAACCATATTATACATCATGTGCATGATATTTAATTTTTAAATTAATTTATATAACATTGAAATGATTCTATATTTTATAAAATAAAAAAATATATCATTGAAGTTATATAAAATTTATAGAGTAACTTTAATTTTATTAATTATTTATAATGATATCATTTTACTGATGTATTATCACCAAAATTATTCTTAGCAAAAATATAAAAAAAAGTCTTGAAATTTATATGAAATTAATTGTATTATATTATATGATTGTAAAATTATATTAATTCATATAAATAATAATTTAAGTTATTACCTAGTATATGTATTATTAAGCTAATGCATATGACGAAAACAAACGTGGGAGACTAATGTACTATATGAATAACGCTTTTGAACCAATCTAATTTAGGTCAATGCGTTGATGTTCCACTATAATAATTTTGTTGGTTTTGTTTTATATGACGATCGTAACAATTGTATCTTGGAATATATAGTTGTTCGGCAGCAATACAGAAATAAATAATTTGAAGTTTTGACAAGAGTGAATTGTGATTTGATTATCAGTAACCTCTTTTTGAATACACATATAGAGTTTGATAGAGATCATTCCTTTATTAGAGTCATTCCAAAAGAAGGAACCTCTTCTTAACTCATTTGAACCAAGAATGTTATGTACATACAAATACAATCAAATTTTAGATACAAAAGAGTTTTGGTCGAAAAATGTAAAAAACGGCTAAACTTTGTTGGCAGCTAAGTTCCAAACACGCAGCTTCCCACTCTTGTCCCCACTGAATAACAGTCCGCCAGGACCCATTGTGATTGTCCCGATCGTGTGCGTCGAGAACATCTTTCCCCGTTCTTCAAAACTGTGTATAAAAACCAGAACGAATGAGTAAATGATTGAGATTAGAGTAGACTATAATTACAGAGACTCTAGCACTAAAGCTTCACTTACGATGGAAGATCGACGATGCTCACTGTTCCGTTTTGGTAAGAGCAGAACATGATCGGTTTGACCTCTGCGTCGTTCATCCCACAAAGAGTATGCACACTCTGTTTCAAAACAATCAGAAACGCTTTACGTTAAAAACATATTGTGTTGTTGTTGTCATGAGGAGAATGGGGCTTTAAGCGTAAACAAAACTTACTTGTGCTTGTCTGCGCGTATAAGTAACTTTCAAGCTGCCATTTTCAGAACAAGCCCAGACTTTTATGGTTCCATCCAAGGAGGAAGACAACAGAAACTGGTCCCAACATAAGAGAGACGTGACAGTGTCCGTATGTTGCCTCAGGGTCATTGTACATTCCAGTGTGTTGAGATCCCACACCTTTATTGTTTTGTCCACGGAGCCAGAGTATAGTCGCTCTCGTCCGACAATAAAACACGTGACTTGGCCACTATGATGTCCCTCGAGGGATGTTAGGTATGTGAAAGGATCAGACTCGTTGTCAGTTGCTTTCCAGACTAATATGCTACCAGACTGCAATTCCAAAAGGAACAAATTTAGATCCAACAAGGAAGCAGAGAACTAACACAAGAAGAAAAGCAAGAGAGAGGAAGTTAAAATGCTTACACTTGTCCCAGCAAAAAGCATTCCATTTGTAACAGCCATAGCATGGACCTGACCAACCACTCCGTTAAGATGCAATTCTTTACTTGTTTGGACGTTGAAAGCCTGCAGGATATAAACAAAAACTATAGACCAGAGCCAATACAACAAATCCCACTCATGAATATAGGCGAAAGGATTTGAGTTAAGAGAGGCACTAAACTAACCTTTACAGCATTTGGCAAGCCAAGGAAAACCCATGGGCCTTCACTGATTAACGACCCTGCTTCTGCCTGGAGGTTGGTTGTATGAACACACTGACCAGTGTGGCAGTCCCATATTCGCAATGTACCATCGCTACTGGCTGAAAATAGTTTATCAGAACCCTCAGGAAGGGCAATCCCTTTTAGATCCTACGAGCAACAATATTTACATGTTAGCGAAACCCGTTTTCCATTTAGCCAACAGTCAAAAGAGTAAACAGAAATTGAAAAAAAGGCAAAAGTACCTTCTTGTGTCCTTCAAGAGAAGCTAGCATGGCCGATCCAGGGAAGCAAGTCCAAGAGTGTAAGAACGGGCATTGCTCACCCTTCTTGCAGTTTCCAGCCTTCCAATACTTACACACACATTCCTTAGACTTGGGACTGCCGTTATCTCTCGACCTCCAGCCTCTGGTGTCTGAAACAGACGAGCTTCTTGGCCCATACGCAGCATTCTTCATTGGCCCATATCGAGTGCCTGAAACTGGTGATTTCATTGACCCATATGTGTTATCATTCTTCAGTGGCCTGTTGCCTTCTGATGCCGTCCAAACCAGATTCCGTGACCACTTATTTGGACCTTTGTTCATTCTATTGTCATAAGGAACATAGCGTCTTCCGGGAACTATATCTGCTGCAAAATCTTGTTGCCTCTCCACTCCGAAACTCCTTGCGTTTGAGTATCTCCTTGGCGCCTTATGACTCATTCTATAAACATTGAGAAAAACAATAACTTTAGCAGACTGATTCGAGCGTCGTTGCTTCATCCATGATGATCCACAGAAACCCTCGGGAGTAAGAAGAGAATCAAAAGCTCCAATCCTCTGATAATCCAGAAAACGTAGAGCACCACGTCCGCAGATAAACCAAATAAAACCTAATCTCCATTCAGAACCCTAATCTAATGTCACCTAAAAACCGAAATACTCCATCAATTCCAGAAAAGCCATAGATAATCGATGTTCCGAGTTTCCAATAGCAGAAATATCCAGACGATCCGGTGATTTCATAACCCCGAGCGTTCGTATATGTAAAACCCTAACTATAAACAACATAAAACCACAAGAAGAGAGAGAGGTACGAAGAAGATCAACTTGATTCCATCATCCCCATCGGCGAAACCCTAGCTTCCTAGGTAATCGATGCGAATAGGACGACGAAGATCGAGAAGAAGCGGAAACCCTAAGTAAAAGCACGAAGAAATCATCATAATCGCGGAGATCCGTAGCCGGAGTAGAAGCAAACCTGAGAGATCAAACGAACAAACGGATCTAGATCTTCGATTTCGGGAACGGTTTTTAACTCTGGAGAGGAGAGGAAGGAAAAGGAATGGCTCGAATGAATTAGCTCTTGCCTCGCCGGGAAAAGGTAACATTTATAGATGAGTAGGTTGGGTATATTTTACATTGGGCCCCTATTAGGCCCATTAGTACGTGGGCCACGAACCTGTAAGTTGTTGATTCTTCGAAATGAAAAGTTACGTTGTGAAATGTAAAATACAAGATCGCATATTTACATCATATTTTTTTTGTATTACATATTTTCATCTATAACTTTTTCTTTAACACTAAGAAAAATGTCATACAGAGTTGTGTGTTTTACGGTTCTTCATTTCAGATTTTTTTTTCTTAGTACTAATAATTTTTGAAAATGTTTCAGAAAACTACATATTTTTTTACATATATACATATTTATCTCATTATTTTTATTTATGTATTTTCACTTAAAATAATAATTTATTTATTTTTTAATATACGACAAATATTTATTTTTACATTAAGATGATAAACTAATACATTATTATTCATTACATTTTTTCAAATCCTAGTTTTATAAATACTAAATTTAATAAGATGAAATTTGAAAAACAAAGAAAATCATTAATACAATATACCCTTTTAAATACACAGTACCATAAGCTAATACGACATAGTTTAATACAAAGAGTATTAAATCTTATATATCATCTAAAGCCTCGGTTTTAGCTAGAGGCACTGGTTTTTTCCCTTCTATTGGTTTGAAAAATGTAACGAATGGTAATGTGTTAACTTGTTTCGTGGATGATTAGAGGTTAGAATTTTTATTATAAGTTTATTGAAACTATGTATAGTTTCGTTTGTTTTCCCATTCTCAAATATGATAAATCCAAAACAAACAAGTTCATATGTCAACAAACATATGAAAGATACAAAACCAACAAGTAAAGAAGAGACGGAGATCAGATTCCTACGGATACAAACTCGCCGGAGAAACAAGTTAGAGGAAGCTTCTTCTTCTTCCGCTGCTGCTAACTTAGGGTTCATTTATTGGTTTGAAAAATGTAATGAATGATAATGTATTAATTTGTTCGGTGAATGATAATAGAGATAAAAATTATTTTTATGAGTTTGTTGAAATTATGTATAGTTTCGTTTGTTCTTTCTTTTTTCAAATTTAGAACAACATCAGATACTATTAAATACACAAACAAACAAGTTCTTATGTAAACAAAAACATATGAACGATACAAAACAAACAAGTGCTTTTAAGAATGGTTCTCTCATACTAACCATAGACTAAACAAGCTTCTCTTGTCAACTTCCGGATAGACTTAAAGCAAAAGTAGGGAAAGATTAGAGTTTTCTCTTAGTAACGTTTTCAAGAAAACTTGACCTTGATTTTGCACTTGGGAGAAGCTCTGGGAAGCATTAGCAGATTCGCCATGACTTGTAGCTTTTCTTCAGCTGGTACACGAGCATGAACTTCCACGAGCTCAAGAGATGACAATTTCTTCAAGAAATGCTTCACTTGCTCCAAATGTCCGATATCACAACGATAATTATGGATCTTTAGGACCTCCACAGGACATGCCAATAGGAAAGAATACTCTGACACGCATTGGCATACCAAACCATCTTCCCCATATCCACAGTGCAAATCCTGATATACAAAAGATTTGAGATTCAAGGTTTATGAGTACACCTATAGAGTTTTCAAAACTTTGTTAATTTGTCCAATGAAGTTTTGGGGTTTACGGTCATACCTCGATGATGAGAGTCTTCAGATTCGGAGATTTCTTTATCAGAGTTGGTAGAGGAAACCAACAGAAGTTGATAAATCTAATAGTAACCTGAAACAGGTTTTCAAACACTGGGATCGATTCACGGAAGACATCAAACATCTGAAACACAATAAAGATCACAGCTTATATTTCAATCAACCGCATTGAAGAAAGTTGCAGTAATATGTCAAAGAAGAAGAAAACAAGAGAGGGCACTTACATCCACAGTGTAGATACTTAGGTCCAAAATCTTAACATTTTTAATCCCGTCGATCAGATTCATTGGATCGAATTCGAAACCATATTTACTTAACTCTGACCATAAACGACCATCCCCATGAAGGTCCAGCTTAGCTTCAACAAGGGAGTCAAGATTAACAATAAGATACTCTTTAGGAACAAAACCAGAGTACTCTAAGTAGGTTAGTCCGGGAATATCAAAACTGATTCTGTCAAAACCATAGACACGTTCCCCACAATCTAGTCTAACGCTCTCCTCATCAGACTCCTCATCATCCGATTCCCACTCACGCCGGATGGGTTCCCCTTCCTCATCATAAGGTTGCCACTCGTTACTTCTGATAGTCAGTCTTCGAAGGGTCGGGCTGGAGAAGTTGCAACACCGTTTCCATCGTTCTAACTCTATACCATCAATGACTAGCTCCTCAAGCACAGGGCACGCAGAGAGAAGCGTTTCGAACGCACAGCGACCACGAAAACCGTAGAACCGAACAGAATCGAGAGAGAGCGTCTTGAGAGCCGGAAGAAAAGCATCCTCAGGGAGAAGGTCGATGGCAAAACCGGACCAACTTCATGCTTTTGCTCCCTTTTTGGACAAGCTTCATTGTAGTAACTGTCTCGCAAGTAAACACTTGAAAAGGCAGTGAGTAACATCCTCCTTTGGCGACTTTTTATCTCGAGTTCCAGAGCCGAAACACCGCGCTTCACCACATTGCAAAGACAACGGCTGATATGTTCGTCGTCTTGAGCCACATCGTTGCATTTTAGAGAGACTTTCCCTACCCAGGAGCTGACAGGTAGAGCCAATACCTTATCCACGAAATCCTTGAAAGGCTCTCCATCGTCTTCATCGCCATCAAAACGAAGCTCTGGTATGATAAACACATTTCGCCAACGCTTCGAGAGCACCGATGCGAAAGCAGCCTCCTTTGCCGAGAGGAAAGTCCCAATGTGGTGAATAATCTCATCTGGTAGATTACTGATCCTATCCATAACTTTTGCAAAAATCTAAGAGAAACCCTTTTTTACTACTCTAAACCCAGTTCGACGAAGCAGGAATCCAGAAATCAGCATCATAAACGGATATATACGCAGAAGAAAGATGAAAGCTGAAGGAGCGAACTTGTAGAAATGGTGATAGACGACGAAGAAAAACTGGATCAACCCTTCAATTGTGCCGTGAATTTCGATACTTTAGTGAACCAGAATCTCATCTTCGAAGCCAATTCAACTACGGAAACTTGAGCAGAGTTTGGAGCAATCTTCAAAACCCTAAGGCAACAACAACTGCAAAAACCAAAGCTAGCTTGTTCATTCAGTGTGTATAAGTTGTTAGAACCAACCCAATTTCAATAAAATTAAGAGAGATAGAGTCACGAGAAGATACACTTACCTGGTGAAAAGAGAGAGATTTGCAGAAGGATCAAAGATGACGGAGACAGATATAGACAGCCGATTAGATCAAGTGAAAGAGAGAGATCTGCGATCGATAAAGAGTTAATTTGTCGATTTGGAGAGATGAGAGAAATGCAGAGATAAAGAGTCGAGAGTCGACTACATCAGAATTCAGAAAGAGATAAGAGAGACAGAAGCATGCTGAAATACAAAGAGAGAAAGTCGATTTAGAGAGATGAGAGAAATTTGGCCGACGGCCGGAACCGGAACTGCGTAAGGGATGTGAAGAAAAGAAAGATAGGATTTTTTAGTTTCAATAAACAAAACGACACCTAGTTTAGTTATTAAACATAAAAACGACAGACACGCAAACTAGAAAACAACACACTTTTCACATTTAAGTGGGGTACCCGCAAATCCGCATCTCACCCACCCCGCCCCCGGCATAACAGCTGCAACCCGCACCTGAACTCTTCCGAAATTTTGTTTAGCTGACCCGCACCCGTCCTGCAGCGGGTCTAACAGGGCGGGACCCGCGGTTTGTGACTCAAATTCTCAGGGATAGTTTGGTCGATGATTTTGGAGAAATATAAATTACTGAAAAATATCTAAAAATTTGGGAAAAAAAAAACTTTCTCTCTCCACAAAAACCTTAATTTCTTTTTACGCAGTCATCGTTACATAACTCATCTTTGCTGGTGCTTGATTTTGGAGAAATATAAATTAGTGAAAAATATCCAAAAATTTGGGAAAAAAAAAACAGTTCGCCGTGGCCAGGGATCAAATCCGGGTCACTCGTGTGGCAGACAAGAATACTTACCACTATACTACAAGAGAAAATTACACTTTCATTCTAATTTCTCTTACAAAATAACACACTTTCAGCATTTGATACATTTTCTTCACATAAAAAAAACAATAATATCCTTACACCATTATTTACGTTTTATGTTAAAAAAAATATTTTACTACAACACTAGAAACAAAAAAAAAAACTTTCTCTCTCCACGAAAACCTTAATTTCTTTTTACGCAGTCATCGTTTAGATACATAACTCATCTTTGCTGGTGCTTGATTTGTGTCTTGCTTCAATTAAAAACACAATTCGACATCAAAAAGAAGCTACATCATCGTTATTGGCTTATTCGATGTTGCTTCTCAAGTTTGTGATTATTACCGAACCCGACATCAAGAATCTACATCGTCGTCGCTAGATTTGTTGAATCCAAATCTGCATTTATGTGTTGTTAAGATCCATTCAATATTGGCAAGATCAATATAAATTTTAACGAGATCCATCTTCATCTGCCAATAAAATTTTAACTAAGTGAAACTTCAATTCATAGTTACTCCACCAATTTGTATTCGCCAATAGATAGAAGTTTCACCATTTTGGTTAAGTTTGGTTTAGATATTGTGTTTAGGTTGAACTTGAATTAACTATGGTTACCAGTAAATCGAAGAAGATGACTTCATTAATGTCCAGTTCAAGCTTACTTTTTAGGACATCATGTTTGTGTGGCCGCGAACAAGTAGATAGTATGAGATGGACGGATTTAGTATGAGATTTATAACAAGATTATAGATTTTTTTGTCCATTAAATAATAACCACACTCACTTGTCCATTTGATAAAAATATATTTTTATATTGATTTAATATACTT